ATTATTTCGAATTTCCATTATTTCGGCACATACTGTTATCTCTCTTTTTTCATGAAGTCTAGACTATTTCTCTCTTTTTGTAATACTCGTACGGCTAGAGTAACAAGTGAGCGTGGCTAGCGTGATAGATATCGAAGTACCGATATCGGCATTCGAGACGTAATATAAATTGTAATTAATTATAAAATTCATATTACAGGTAGATAGACTTTGCTCGATATACACACGCGCACACACATTTTTTTGCACATCACGATGTGATAATGCGTCATCACAGTAAAATTAACTTCTTAAGATCGCGCGAAATCCTCTCCCGACAAGAGGATGCGAACCGATCAGCTGATGCCGTCTAGCCTACACGCACGCATATCCTAGACCTCGCGAAAAAAAACTTCCAGGGGTCTACCAAATCGACGTGCACGATCCTTACGCCTGCGACAACCACTCGCGCACTCACAACGCGGACCGATAGTCCCCCAGGAAGCCAGACGATGAAAAAGATCGCAGCCGAGATCAGCTGATCCGAGGCAACCGATAGTAAGCTTGAGCTAGACCTGACTAGCTAGAGAGAGGGGCAACCGAGTGTGTGAATGAGAGCGAGACAACAGATGAGAGAGCGATCGGGCGCGAGCGAGGGGAAATCGGTAGGGCTAACGAGCGCATGTAGGAAAGAGATAGCTGATAACGATACGAAATTGACCGACGAGCGCGACTTGACCAGTCAATCGGTAATAAGATAGGGGTAGATCGCCAAATAGATTAAAACCGACGTTATCTGACCAACCAATCGGTAATAAGATAGGGGTGGACTAACAAATAGAATAAAACCTACGATAACTGACCAAAAAATAGGGAAATTAGGCGCCAAAAACCGGCCAGTAGTAAAATTGCGTGAGCTAGGATAGTAATATAGATGGCGCTGATAATCGACTTAGCAACAAAATCAACCAATCAGATAAAAACCCACGAGAAAAAGGGGAAATAATCGAGGAAAAGCGACGCGATGCCGTGAAAAGCCACGGCAGTGTCTGCAGAGCTCTGGTTGCGCGTGGAGGCCCAGAGTAATGGTGAACAGCGAACAAACCATTAAGAGAAAGCAGCAACAGCATTAAGTGATAGCAGCAACAGCATTAAGAGAAAGCAGCAACAGCATTAACTAGCAGCAACAGCAGTATTAATCAGCAGCAGCAACCGGTTAATAATCAAAGGGATAAGAGTGAGTACTTCTCTTTCTCTTTTTCTTTCTAATTCGCACCCACTCCTAACCAAACCGCGAATTGCCGGGAGTGTCACTTGACCATTCGTGACCATTAGTTGAACCGCGAATTTTCGGGTGTGCCGCTTGACCTTCGCGCGATCGTCGAATTACTCGTGCGCTAGTTAGATTGTCGCCTGACTTTCGCGCGATCGTCTAGATTCTCGCTCATCAACGAGAGTGACACCTGATCTTCGCGCGATCGTAGATACTCGCACATCAATGGAATGCCGCATGACCGTCGCGCAATCATCGAATTACCCGCGCGTTAATCAGTGTCGCCAGACCTTTGTGTGATCCCCGAAATCAACCGCTCATTAACCCGTGCGATCTGACCTTCTCGCGATCGCCACGAAAACAGATCGAGATCGCGTCATGGTGCGCCATCCGCGACCCTTTTAGGGGGATTCGGATGAAGTAGACCGCCGCGAATAAGTTTCCTGCACCGAAGAAAAAGGAAGATGAATTACGTTAAAGACGCAATGACCGGATGTCATTAGCATTTCCCCCTTTCCCCGCCCCTTTTTACTTTGACCTACGATATGACCGACCATAGGCTGACCCGGGTATATATATATATATATATATATATAGAGAGAGAGAGAGAGCAGTTTAGTATTTAATAATAAATGAGAATTCGCGCCGAAATGCTTTTATCATTGACTCAACGTTAATCAATTTTCCATATCCCCCGCAGTTATCGCGATCGGGTGCGCGAAGCCGGCTAATGCGTCGACGCTCCGACGTCATTTTGTTCACGTGATTGATTCAACCCAACTTGTCACTACCCCTGGATTGCTGACTTGGCGCCCTGAGATGCCGCTCCGACTACCCGCTGCTGAGAGAAGAGCCCTTGCCCCCGACATATTAACTAGCCGTTGCCCGTAATTTTCCTCGCACGTTGGATAGGGAGAAAGTACTGAAAATGTATCCAATCGTATATCAAACATCATTTTCAAACAATTAAATCAAAGCAATCTAATTGACATCACTTTCCTTGATTTAACTGTGGAACACAAAATATTACTAAGAAAGATGAATAAATATTGAATTAGAAACAGTATATTTAATTTTATAAAAAATTATTTAAATAATAGAAGACAAAGAATTATAGCTACATGTAAAACAAATTCAACATAGTAAATATAGAAGTACCACAAAGTAAAATAATAGTTCTACATTTACCCTGAGTGTAAATGATAAACTACAAAGCATGTTTTATTCAATGCAAATGATACTAGCGAGCAATTGGAAGAGTGCACATCCAATCTCTCGCCGCAAAAGCGTACCACGTTGTCCGCGATTTTAGTTAGCATTAGCTGTTGCCGTCTGTCATTACCACGATACGATGTTCGTTGCATAGTCTTCCAGCTTATCTATTGTATTTGCTTTATTGTACCCGGCTCTTTTCTACTTTACTGAATAAATTGTAGAAGCTTCTAGCGACCGTGCGTACTTTTTATTGTATTTGACCCTGTAAAACCTCGCTTTTCGTCGAATCGTAACCTGCATACACCCGAACCCAAGGAGGTACCTGCGAATTCGCGATTTTGCGCATATGTTCAGAGATGTTGCCCTAGTGTGAGTAACAACACCAGACGCCTCATGCGCTCTTGCATCTTAACGAGAATCGCAAAGGAGCCATCGGTAGTATACATACAAAATCAACGCGTGACAGATATTATCGCGCCCTCGAGGGCAAATATTTTGTTATTTGCCGCGTGTGTACGCCGACAAATCACCTACCCTGTCACAAATAACTTATGAAATCATAGCATGGGGAGGAGCATGTACAGGAAGGATTAACGATCCACAAGCACTACAATCAGGAGTACGTAAAGTAACAAATCTGCAAAATCGTGATTCTTCATCGTTATTCTAATTAAGGATCAATTCTAAAGTAATTTTTTGCTTAAAATCCAAATTCGAAGTCATAATTTATTTATCACAATGGCAATTGTAAATTGTTTTACAACAGATTCCATATAAGAAAATCAATTTACAATTTAAAAAAATACAAAATCTATCAACTAATACCAAATCAATAATTATTGCCGACGAACTGACACGTAGTTAAGTCGAATGAAAGATATTACACAAACAAAAAAACTATTAGCATCTTCGAAATAGGTATACTGTTTTAATCTCAAATATAAGGTCTTCAGGCATATATATTTTATAAAAGCATAAAAAACAGAAATAGTCTCAAAAAAAGAAAACAATAAAGAAATGTATTAACTCAGTTTTCGATAAAATTGGTAAGATAAGACACAAGCAACAAAATAACAGCAACTAACACTAGGATATCTCTGGAAAACCAATATTTCAACCAAAAAGTATTTGGATGACAAACAGAGACAATTCTTTTTCACAATTACATAAATGAAACTCATCGCTGCAATATCAAGCAATGTTTTTTTACGATAAAATTATATTTGTAACAGGAATCGCTTGCTTGCGAACTATGTGCGAGAAAGAAAGAGCGAGAGAGTGAGAGTCTGCGTGGAGCAGCCGGCAAATAAAAGTGAGCCGGCGCCACTTGTTGGGGAAAATCCAGGGGCCCGAAATATGCAGCATACGTTTCGGGTAGACGGGTGAAAACATGTAACCGAGACCTACTTTCTCCTTGTAATCGCTGCTCAGGGTACTGATGTAATGGTCCCTAACAAAATGCGTGGCGCACCCTACCTTCTCGAGAATTGAGAGGCAAAGGATCAGTTCAGCACGAGAGGTGACCAAGTACGCTTCTCTCCTTTACCTAGTCCCTGCCCTTTTTCTTCTCTTGTGTTGCGTGTTTGTTTCCATGCGTGCATGTTTCTAACAGTAATACGTCCGCCGGTACGCGAGACTTTGAGTCTAAAGCGATTAAAACGACGACCCTCTGACGATTGAGGGCCAGTAGCAACCGATGGCTTGGCAGAAGAATATGACTGGTGCTGTCTGAGACGCCTCCGACTCACGGGGCAGCCGTGACGACAGTAATCGGCCCACCCCTTTACGTGACGAGCAACGCAGTGCGCACTGAGTACTGTGTTGTTCTACGGGGCGTCTTCCTCCTCTGCAAGCGTGCAAGTTTCGTTCGGTAAGCGATTGTCACAATATTTAGTGATCACTCGAATCCGATTTATACACATGTGTGTTCCGACCGCTTAAATACATATACGTCTTTTTGTGTGTAAGGATTGCACTTAAATAGTTTTTCTTTCACTCAAGCCACGGGTTTTTTATGCCGGTTACGTGCGACCCCCTTTTTTCTTATTACTTGCCTACATAAATAAATTTAATTACTTTTTATAATTTTGGCTACACGCGTTTCATTCATTTGCACGGTCACACCTTCTTCACCCAAACTCTTATTAATCTCTCCTCCTACTTTTTCATTTCTCAAAAAGTTGTTTTACGCAACAGAATCATGTACATAGCTAGACTAAAAACAGTAGATAGCACCTATGGAACTGTTTACATCAATGTAAGATGAGAGATCAATAACCATTCGATACTGGTAGAGAAAGAAAACGCACAATAATTCAAATAATATTCTAATCAACTAAATTTTTTCAAATTTTATTTATCATTACATTACTTTATATTGATAAAAAAATCGTAACGTGTATATACTTAATATAATATTATTAATGTATTTTGTTGAGAAGAATTTAATCTATATATTTATCGTCAGTATTATGCTTAAATATGGAAAATATTACAAATAAATTTAAATTAAAACTGCTATTAAAATACTTACTAAGCACAGCTATAGCTTGAGATTCGAACAGCAATGTCTCACTGGAATTTCGGTGTTCTAATATAACAGAATGTGGATTTGGAGACTTCAGTTTTTCGTAGACGCGATATGATTTTCCCATTGCCATAGTTATGAACTAAATACTTTATAGTTAATATACAGATCAAAGTATTTCTTGATTTACCTAAAAACAAATTAATAACGGAAAACTAGAAATAATGTAATAATATTGTTCCTATTCATTTCAGAAATAAAGTATTCTACAATAATATATATACATTATTGCAAAATGAAGAAAAAAATAAAATTTATATTTAGTAATAAATATTTGAAAAATAGTACAGTCACGTAGAACAATTAATATTAATAAAAAATATAATAAAATATTCTATTTATCAATTTCTATTTATCAAATCAAGTCAAGTAGGATCCATTAATACTATGATGAAATCTTATCATTATAGAATAGACTGTTTCGGTTGAGTTTAGTCGACATGACTATCCCGTGTATAAAATTGTAATTTTGTTCTTTATTACAAAGTACAATTTTTTCTTTCAGTTTGGACCTCACATGTTATTGAATAGGCAGCTGAGTTGAAGAATATTTTTAATATTATGAGAAAAGGAGAATTCATCCATCAGAAAAGCGTTGGTCTCACAGAAACTAAATATTACAATAGTTTGATTAAGAAGTCCGTGGATAGAAGCTCGCTACAGCAATAGCGCATTCAGGACAGGAAGCCAAGATGCTTCGTGACGCTGTAGAGATCTCCATCACGGTTATTATGCTTCTTTAAATGGAGGAAATAAGGAAATTTTAGAACAAGGATATTCCAATGCTATTAAATACCTGTAGGGACGGGAAGCCCACAGGAACGACTCACAGAAAAGTAAGGTAGGAAAATAAGAGGGGACTTTCAGTAGAGAGCAAAACATTCAACTCAACGATCAGGTGTTTAAGCTGATTTATTGATTACAATAATGTTTGCTCGACCTTACTGGACTATAGCCAGAGCTAGAGTGATTTTAGTGTGTGTAGCTCCTCCTTTTATACCCGTTCCCGCTGGAATCTTTTACACTCAAACGCATTTTTTACGCTCTTTTTGATTTCATGATTTTATAAATTGAGCTGTAAAACATTAAATATTTATATTAGAGCACCGCTTTTTCCATTCAAACATATTTTTGATTACGCTTTAATTTCGTGTGAGTACAGATTATTTTTTTACGATATTGGTTTATTTTATACGAAGTGTGTTCAAAAAGTAAGGTGAATTTTTATTTTTATGAAAAAATATTTATTTATTCATCAATATTTATGTTGTTCCCTTCAAAGTAATTCCTCTCAGATATAATACACTTGTGCCAACGTTTTTTCCAATTCTCGAAGCACTTCTGGTAAGCACTTTCTGGTATAGCCTTGAGTTTTTCTAGCGATTTTTTCTTTATCTCCTCAATTGTTCCATTGTGATGCAAAATTCATGAATTGCTTTCCCACAATTCCGGACATTTTTTTCGTATTGCTTCTGGCAAACGGCGCATAACTTCAAGGTAATACTCTTTATTGATCGTACGACCTTGTGGTAAGAACTCTTGATGTACTACGCCACGATAATCAAAGAAAACAGTGAGCAAAACCTTGACATTTGACTGAACTTGACGTGTTTTTTTCGGTCTTGGCTCTTCTGAAGTCTTCCATTGGGACTATTGGGCTTTAGTTTCGACGTCATAACTATAAACCCATAATTCGTCTCCAGTTATGACTCTTTTGAGCATATCAGGATCATTATTACCGTCGTTTAACAGCTTGAGTGATGCTCTTTAGATGGTCCTTTTGTTCAAGATTAAGCAGTTTCGGAACAAATTTTGCTGCTACACGTTTCATGCTCAAAACTTCGAAAAAAATTGCATGCCCCGAGTTAACAGAGATGCCGACATCTTCAGCCACTCCTCTAATAGTGATCCGACGATTTTTTAATACCATTTGTTTCACTTCTTCAACACTTTCATCAGTTATTGAAGTGCTGGGGCATCCAAAGCGAGGTTCGTCGTCGATGTCTTCTTGGCCATCTTGAAAGATCCTAACCATTTGTAAACATATTTTGGACTTAAAGTAGTCGCACCGAATGCTATTGTCAACATTTAAAGTGTTTTGGAGCACTTCATTCCATTTTTACACAAAATTTTATGCAAACTCTTTGATCCACTGTTTTCGACAGCAGAAAATCGCCGAGCACAAAAAACACGTCTGACGTTTCTGTCTCGGAAAATAAAAAGTAAACATACAAACTGGCTGAAACTGAGCATATGTGAGGGACATTTATACCAACATTGTAAAAAAAAATATCGATGATCGAATCTACGTAGCCCGCCCAATTTAAAAGTTCACCTTACTTTTTGAGCACACCTCGTATATTGGTTTAAAATTATAAATAATGATATCTAGAGTTAATAAACTGTAATCGTGATAAAAAATTATATGTAATTCTAGCGTATAATGAAACGAACCCATTTGTCAAAACAGAAGGTTATAAATTGCTATTGTTTATGAATTATGGAGTTTTTTTGACTTTTTAGTTTATTGACAAATTGCGATATCTCGGCTTTAGCGCAATTTTTCAACTTAATTCAAACTTGATTACTTATTTGATAAGTAAAGGACAATTCATTCACTTACTCATTATATAAAATTACTTTTGTTTAACTAAATTGTTAATTTTTTATGTATTAATAACTTTTAAATTATTAATTACCTTTAACTCAACTTCCTATCGAAATGTACATTAAATCGCATAATTTCTTTCCGTCATGTTTGTTTTATCATAATTATTGTTATTTTTTCATAAAGAGTAAATAATAAATGTTTGCAATTAAAAAACCATAATAGTAAACAAATAATTTATGTAAAATAACATATATTTGTAAAGTGAAAGTCTCATTCTACAAACATGATTGACGAGTCCTTTGAAAGTTAATTAATTATATTATTTTTCAAGAAATATATGGAAATAGTACATCTATATAGCTTATTGCAACGCAAGTAAATAAACATAGTTAAATAGTTTATAATGGAGCGGGTTGTCTACGTACAGGCGGTTTCATAGAACGGGAACCAAGACATAAATGTTACACGTGATTATGCATGAAAATTAGAACGGGGAGAGTGGGTAACGTATTTACTTTAGTCCTCCTGTCTTTTTGTATTTTATTACTATACTCTGTTCCTCTTAAGATGCGAAGGCTTACCGTCTCGCTGATTAGTAACCCGCATACATCTGAAAATATTCATAAAATTAAGAAAACTAAAGGCTGGGTGCGTAGAGCGTATGCAGATTCGTTTTTGGGCAAAAAAAGTCAGAGCATTGAGGTAACATAAAACAGTTTATTGTTTTACAGTAATGCTTAAGACGCTATAACTTAACAAAAAAAATACTAATTTTTTTATTTCTAATTTTAAACAATCGTTAAAAGTAAATTAATCGTGGAATTCGACTAATTTTTCAAATTTTCTCTCCTCTTCAATCTTGAAAGTTCCGATTGAAATCTTGTGATGTAAATGTTGTATGATTGAATAAAACCTCAAACCATTGCTGACTATCAGCCGAATGAGATTGTGGATATGTTAATGGTTTTAGGGAAAAGTAATAATAATTATTGTGTTGTAACAAGACTTTACGCTGAATACTTTCCTTATACGAGGGTGGTCCGATAAGTACTTAGCCTCACCGCCCGATGGCGCCACTCTCGCAAAAGAAATATTCTATCACGTAGTACAACCTTCTCGATGGTTACTGTCAAGATTTCAGCCGGATCGGAGTTGTAGTTTATTTTTGAGCGCGTGTGAAAGCAAGTGTGTCCGTTAATTTTTGAAAAATGGAAAAAGAGCAGTACGGTCGGTGATGCGATTCTTGTTTTTGGAAGGGAAATCGCGCAGCGAAATCAAAAAACGCTTGGATGCTGTGTACGGTGACTCTTCTCCTTCGATGGCGACCGTCAAAAAGTGGTTTAACCAGTTTCAACGTAGTCGCACGTCGATTTTTGAAGAGCCACGTCCAGGTGCTCCGAAAACGGCTACCACGGAGGATAATGTGACAAAAATTCACGATCTCGTATTGGCAGATCGACGATTGAAGGTGCGCGAGATAGCTAAGATCGTAGGCATCTCAAAAAACCGCGTGGGTCATATCCTGCATGAAATTTTTGGCATGAGAAAGCTGTCGGCGCGATAAGTGCAGCGTTTGCTCACTCCGGACAACAAGCGCAACCGTGAGACAACTTCAGAGCATGTCTGACGCTGTTTAAGCACAATCCGAAGGAGTTTCTGCGTCGTTTCGTGACAGTCGATGAAACATGGATCCACTGGTATACACCAGAGACCAAGAAACAGTCGAAACAGTGGACTTTACCCAACGAAAGTGCTCCGAAGAAGGCGAAGACTGCCCCATCGGCCAGAAAGGTGATGGCCACTGTTTTCTGGGATTCACAAGGTGTGATCTACATCGACTACGTGAAGAGGGGCAAAACAGTCACAGGGCTGTACTGTCTCGAATTATTGGGCCGATTCGACGTCGAATTGCAGAAAAAACGACCCCATTTGGCGAAGAAAGAAGTGCTCTTCCACCATGACAACGCACCGGCTCACACCTCCGCCGTCGCCATGGCCAAATTGGTCGAATTAGACTATGAACTGCTGCCCCATTCACCGTATTCTCCAGATTTAGCCCCGTGCGACTTCTTTTTGTTTCCAAACTTGAAAAAGTCACTCGCCGGGCAGAAATTTGAGTCGAATGAGGAGGTAATCGCTGCCACGGAAGCCTACTTTTCAGACCTCGAGGAAACGTATTTTTCAGACGGATTAAAGAAGTTGGAGCATCGCTGGGGCAAGTGTATCGAACTAAAAGGAGACTACGTTGAAAAATAAAACGCCACTTTTCCAAAATTTTCGTTTTTCTTTGTAGACTAAGTACCACCCTCGTAGACGACACCTAAATCATAAAGTAATAAGTCGCTTAGCTAGGAGAAATGCAGAATAATCAAAATTTTTTTAACTTTGTCGATTTTTCTGATGCCACTAAATTTCAAAGTGACGGAGAAATTAAGAAGCATAATAATTGCCATTATTGGTCGAATGAGAATCCTAATTAGCACAGAACTATAAATAATCAAAGGCGTTGGAGCCTGAGA